GTTTTTTGGGCTTGTTTTGAACAGGAAGTTACTTATTTGGGCTTAACTTTCTTTACGAGTGAAACTAGTTGATTATCTCCCAGCTCCGCACAATAAAGCAAAACCCGAGTGGTAGTAGGTAGTTTGTCCCTTCCATGCCCCCGTTTCCCATTTATCGTTTCCGCCCAAGTTGACGAGGCGACAGGCGCACACCCAAACAAACACTCATACTGTGGCTGGCCACTAGGGGGCTTTACTCACACGCAAATGACATGGACTTCATGAAGGGTCTGCTTTATGCTCTCAAAATATACTATCCAAAAGAGCTACCTTTGAAGTTATTCAGAAGTTCCTGATGAACATTGGCGGAGGATTAGAAGGTCCTGATGAACTTTGATGTTCTTTCAGAAACTGCTTTCTAAGTTTGATTACGATCTGTTAAATGGTAATTGCTAATACTAATAATGAAGGAAAACACAGACGTGAGCAAAAACATTATTACTTCTTGCCTCTAGAAGTGGGCAATATTTCGGTGCATCATTCAATTGACTCTATATTCAATTATCTGGATTTTGTTTAGCTTTAAAACATAAGCACAGTAAGATTTACCTCTATGGCAAAGTGCAGCAACCCTAAAAAAATGCAAAAAGATAAATTTTATACATTTCCCTGCCTTGTTGAGCAAAAGATTACTCTCCTCTGAATCGATGAAGAAAAAGTATTGGGCTTTATTTTTTTTAACTGCCTTTGTCTAAAAGGTGTTTGAACAACACTAATGCTTCCACTGCTCTTTTCACCACAAATAGTCTACTACGCTCTGAGACAAAATTATAGCAATCCATCACAGCTTTTATGTGAAGCTTTATTACATTTTGCTTAAAATACTGATCCAGGAGCTGCATTATTCTCTACCAATCACTATCTCTTTCTCCATCTAAATTACAACACAAGCCTATGTGCACATTGGTTTTATAGTAGCCGTGCTGAGCTAGGCTTTAAAGAACGATGTTAAATACACATGCAGTTAAGAATGAGACAGACTGCTGAGAAGGTTTGACTCCATATTTCCTTTCTCCAAATGAATGCACAGTTTACTTGCATAAAGATGTATATGCACGCACAAACACATCAGCAAATCTTTGATCCACTCTCCTTTTAACTAAGACCTGTTACTTCCTTTATGTTTTCCAGTCTGGAATTATAAAGTGACACTTGTTTGTCTTTAATGCAACTTTTTATTTATTTACTGCAGTCATTACTGTGGCTACCAACCAGAAAATTATGACCCGGTATGTATTGTGCCATAAAATTGTTGTTTTAACTTTGTGTTCCTACAGTAAATATATTGTTTAACGTAATGTTGTTTCAAGCAAACTCACATAAAATATTTCAATTCAGTTTATTTATAAAGCGCCAAGTCACAACAGAAGTCATCTCAGGGCACTAAACATAAACATTCATATATAAAAATAATAAGTTAACACTATTTATCTGAGGAGCAGACTGCTTTGAATTGAACTCCATCGCAGAACTCTCATTTTGAGCAAACATGAAGGCGACAGTGGAAAGGAAAAACTCCCTCAGGAGGAAGAAACCTCCAGCAGAACAAGGCTCAGGGCAAGCGGCCATCTGCTTTGACCGGCTTGGTTTGAGAAGACAGGAAGGCGGAACAGATACACAATGGCAGGTCAAGAATCACATGTTAAGATAGAAATAATATCAAATGAAAACTATTCAATTTTAAGAAATAATTTATGAAAATTAGGTCAATTTTTTCATCTAGTAGTCTAAGCATATAGCAGCATAACAAGCCAACCCTAATTATAGGATTTATCAAAAAGGAAAGTTTTAAGCCCAGTCTTAAAACTGCACAACATGTCAGCCTCATGGACAGAAACTGGAAGTTGGTTCCACAAGAGAGGAGCCTGATACTGAAAGCTCTTCCTCCCATTCTGCTTTTTGAAACTCTAGGAACCGCAAGTAAGCCTGCAGTCTGAGAGTGAAGTGCTCTGTTGGGAAAATATGGAACAATAAGAGCTGTAATTTAAGATGGAGCTAGGTTGTTGAGAGCTTTGTAGGTTAGAAGTAAGATTTTGAATTCAGTTCTGAATTTGTCAGGGAGCCAGTGGAGAGAAGTTAAAACTGGAGAAATATTATTTCTCCTAACAACTCCAGTTAAGACTCTGGCAACAGCATTTTGGATCAGCTGAATTCTTTTTAAATAAGTATTTGGTATTTAGCAATTGTTTTATGCTGGATGTCCTTCTTCATGCAATCTGGGCTCAAACCAGCAGCCTCAGGATTAGAAGTCTGCTGCTCTGGCCATCAATTTATTGCAGACCCCATATTGCTCATTGCAATGCTCCTCATTAAATTTGCAGCTTGTTTGAAGCACATGCCATTATATACTGTTTTTGTATGTGTGCAAATGTTTCCAAAGATAACATATTTTTTTTACAGTTCTGATTTTTTTGGAGTGGGGTTCTATGTAAATGTTATGATCAGTTAATAGCTTACTGTTTTTTTTTCTCAAGTAACATGTTAAATGTAATCAGCTTGAGTGACAATTTGATGGGAATTCATGTGTAAGCAGTGTAATTATTATTATTATTTTTACACTGTTACTTGAAATAGTTTTTATGTCATGTCATGCTTAAAGCATACATGTCCAAGGTTACTTAGAAATAATTAAATATGGTTATATACACCTTGTATAAACTCTTCATTCTATCCTGTTTTTACACTATTTGCAAACATGTTAGTGCAAAATCTTTACAACAATGACAGCATTTTATTGGTTCTACTGGAAGCTTTTGGAGTCGTCTTTTAGTTCCTTCTACTTTAACACTGATAAGCGGTAAATCTCTTACAAACGTGTAGGGTTCCTATATCAGTAGTGGGTTTTATCGCTCCCTAAAGGCTTTAAATGGAATTAAGGTCACTGCTAGCTAGTATAAAACAGTATATCTTAATCTATTCAACCAATTTTCTGGTGGTTTATGTGTGCTGAATCATTGTCCAGCTGAAGAACTTCAGACATCCATCTTCGATGTAGTTGTGGACAATAAAGAGGACTTTTCTTTAACTCTGTTTGTTGTTGCTTAATCTTTCTTTAATGCATTAAGCGTCTGTTTGCACCCTGAAGAAGAAAAGCCCTTTTTTGGTCTTTTGTCCATAAATCCAACTTAGCTTAAGTTGTCTCACATTGTATGTGCTAACTTCACGTACAGTAGATGTGATGGTGAAAGCTATGGAGTGAGCAAAAGGAACCTCTGAGTGAAACAGAAAAATAATAAACCTATGAAAATAAGGAGGTAAAAAATTATTCTTGAACCAAATCGCTTCTTTGTTTGTCTGATCTTACCTGTCCTCTCCCTATAATTGCTTTTCTGCGACCTTGTCAGTTGTAAGCACTTTGTAATGATGTCTGCTGTCAGTGTCTAATTTATTACATAGAAACTGCTCATTTTAAACATACTTTAGCTACAAGAGACCTGTGGCTGTTTGGATCGAAGGAACAGATTTACTTTTGCCTGCAGGGTTAGTAATTTAGAAGATGCTTCAAACCATTCGACCTAAGAGGTCAAATGCCCCCTGCTTTCCACTTCTCATCAAAGTGTCAGTTCACCTCTGTGAAACAATGCCACAGGTTTGCCTCTATTTATGTCCCAAGAGTGTTTTCTTTTAGTGTTTTGTCTTCTCCTACTTACTTTCTATATATTTAAAGTTATTTGCTTACACCAGGGCAGTCTCACAAACTCCCACAACACTTCCCCTCCAGAAAATGTGATTTACATTCAGAAAAAGAGGAAGTAAAGTTTCCAAAAGCAAAATCTCAGAATGAAATTAACAGAGCTGCTCCAACATGCAGCCACCTTGAGCGGCGCAATTTAAAACTGTTGATACAATATGTGAATTCACTGTTTATTTAGTTTTTAAATCGTTTCTTTTATTTTTCTTTTCATTTTGTATGCTTTTACATGCTGGTCTTTTGTCGTCTGTACCTCATTTGTGTTCTTTGTTTAAAATAGGTCTCTCTTGTAAATGAGTCCTCATGACTCAATGAGACTAACTGTATGAATAAAAGTTGAATGAAAATCTTCAATCCAGCTCAAACAAGCTGGTCAGCACAGTCTATTTCAATACCGCTGCTCTGTCTGTTCATCAGAACTTTCAGTTCACTGAGCCTTCAATAGCTCGTTTTTAACTGAACGGCATTTTTGATCCAGTTTGTGTCAACTAAAACACCTAAAATCATGAAAACTTAAAAAAAAATTGTCTTCAGCGCGTTGTGTTCTTCACCAATAATTTATGTCTAAACTTCACGTGTGCGAGCAAGTGATCCTCAAGGGATAGTCTGGTCATTTTTGATGGGATATCCTTTCAAAATGTTATTAAAAATTAGTACCTTGTCAGCTGTGATAGCAGGTACAAAGTATGGGGGAAAAAGGCATAAGTCTTTGTCCAGGCATGGCTAATGGATAACCAACCAATGGACTGGTTATTGTTTTTCCAGGCTTATTAAACAACTCTTTCAAAAACAGCATACTGAAATAATGCTGAATTAGCTAATATTAAACCTCTACACTTTTGCATGAAACCATATGCTTTGTCGCTGTTTCCTTAATGTACCACTTACCAAAATAGAAGTAATAACCCTACATATTTTTCAAGTTATGCTTGATTATGGATAGAAAGATGGAGGGATGGAAGGTTTTCAAATTCTCCCTCTTTGCTCTGCAACAGGGCACCAAAAAAAAAAGACATCAAAACAAGTTTTTTCTTTAATTGTTTTTATTTGCTGTTGATTAATTTCTCCATAATTAAAGAAAGAGCAATCATAAGCCTTGTAAATATATGCACGGCACATTTTCCTTACAAGGCATTTACTTAAAGAGGCATCAGTGACACAGGAGAAACTATGCCTGAAACAAAACTAGGGTATACATGTCTTTCATTAAGTATGAACTTGAATTAAACAAAAATCAGAGTAGCAGCAACATGATTTTTTTTTCCTCCTTGGTCTTTGGCTACAATTGATTTAGTCTACTTGATGAAAACATGAGCATCTAAAGCGAACTTTGTAGTCATAACAGCGTTCGCCATGTCTCTGGTCCTCATTATGGCAGATGAAGCCAGTATCAGTATTGTAGCTGAAAAACAACAGAGGATTCTGGGTCAGAATACATTAGTTTTTTAATGTCAAAAGTTCAAGATGTTTCAATAACTTTTGTTTAAAGATGTATGGTACTTATAGAATGAAATCAATGAATCATATAGTTTGTAAAAAAAAAAAAAAAAAAAATCCAAATAAAACAAATAATTAATTTTTATTTCCTGCTGCAATTGTGAAGGAACAATGTTGACAGAGTGTTCATGTGGGCTGCAATTTTTTGTATGCCGTACTGACAAATGAAGCATTGCATTTACAGTAGTCCCTCGTTAATCACGGGGTATCCGTACACTGAAGCCCCATGATAAGTGAAAAACTGCCAAGTAAGAATATTAGTACACTGTATATATATATATATATATATATATCAAGGTGTTTTAAACCCTTCTCGCATGCTTGCAAATTCTAAACAATATTTCTAAACTCTAAACGGTCTAAAAAAGCACAGAATGTCATGAATTCAGCGCTCTGCCTCTGTTGCTCTTGGTCACACCCACTTCTCCGCAGCAGAGCAGAGATCAGCTGATCAGCTGCAAGAGGGAGCTTCGGACCTGTGGGCTGCACAAAGGTGCAGCAGGTGCTTAATAATTTAAAATAATTTATTTTAAATAAAAGTTCCATGCCGATCGTGCTGTTCATCCATCAGTCAGCCAATTTGTGTGTCATGTCCAATCTTATTTTGAAAATCCGCAATAGCGTGAGTATGTGGAAAAACAAACCGCGAAGTAGCGAGGGACTACTGTATTTTAAATTAAACTTTTAATGAAAGTAATCACTGGCTGTACAAGATAAAACAAATACATTTTGAAGTTAACTTAATTCAAGATGGCTGCCAAGGCTAACTGACAATAAAAACATAGTTATAGCTGTAACTAGCATTTTGGTGTCAGTTTTACGGTTTTAACAATAATACTACTACTACTAATAATAATTATTATTATTGTTATTATTATGTGAATGTATTGTCATCATTGTTCCCATACAATGGCAAAATTGGCTCTCTGCATTTAATCCATCCACCACCAGGTATGGCGGTGGGCAGCTATTGGAGGGGCCCGGGGAGCAACTGGGAATGAGGTGTCCTGCTCAGAGATACTATGAGGTGTGCAATGACCTGGGATCAAACCCGGGACCTTTGTCCCGTCGGTTCAGAAATTAATCAATGGATAAATCCAATCAATCCAGTTCAAAATGTCTGACAGGAAATTGGTATTAGCCAACTCAAAAATAATTTTATCTCAACCTATTCTACAGATACAGAGTTGAGCTAAAATTTAATGTGGTGCAAGTCATCCCACATATGCTAAGCTTAAAATTTTAATTCACAAATTGTACATAACTTTATTATGACATCTTGAAGATTTGACCAAAATGCCTAAACTCTGTTTTTTTCTCAGCATATAATGATCTTAAACTAAAATCGAAAAGCTAGTGGGCAATACCGTATTTTCCGGACTATAAGTCACACCTTTTTTCATAGTTTGGCCAGTCCTGCAATCTATAGTATGAAGTGACTTATTTACGTTATTTTCCCTATTCATGACACAATTTTTGACAGATGCGTTAAATGTTAATTCATACTGACATGAACCAAAGCGTAAACATTACCACTGCAGTCACGAGAGGGCCCTCTAGGCTTTTGACAACTATATGTTGTTCTACTACCACTACACCCCCTAACATTCACTTAGAGACAATTGAGAAAAACGTAACACTGAGAAAAACTATGGCAAGTAAATTGCCCCAAAAGTGATGTGGAATGAAATTGGTGAATTTATCGGTAACTTGCTTGTTGGACTCGTTGGCCTATTATGTTAAATAAGCCTGCTCAGGATCCCAGATAAGTTCTGTGTGTTATTGTTATTTCAGATTAAATGTCTGTTCTTGCACTTTGTGAAATACACTTCTAAACAAATGCGACTTATACTCCGAAGCGACTTATATATTTTTTTTTTCCTCTTCATGAGGCATTTTTTGACTGATGCAACCTATACTTTGAAACAACTTATAGTCCGGAAAATATAGTTTGATTATCTATTTTTAGCTTTTACAGTAAATTATTTAAATGGCCCATGAAAATCAAATCAGATGCAATTTAGTTTTAAGAGCACAGTTGTCTAGTTTGTCCGATTACTTGTTTCATATTGAAAAAGCATTTGCTATAATTGTTAAATCTAAAGTGAATAGCTGTGAATAATAAAAATTTGGAGAGGAAGATTTTGTTTGGCAAATTGTGAGCATGTATTGTTGTTGTTTTAAATCAACTTACGCATAAATTTTCTGTTTGGTCCATTCTGCTGGGGTTTCATCGTCAGCTGTTACGGCCTGAATTGCCAGAGGTGTGTGGCAAATTTTTCCTGGGTTTTCTTTTCTTAGCCTCGCCAAATTCTCAATGTCACCTATTCCACCGGGGTTGTCTTGATTGAACCATTTGGTCCAGCATCTTCGTCTCCCAAAATTTGTTTCCATATCTGTATTTGGACCTGTCGTTGTATCTGTAATATTAACACAATATTATAAACAAAAGCTCATTAAGAAAACATGTCTTGTAAATACATTTTTTAAATAGTTGTTACAGTATACCCTTTTTTTAACCACAGAGGTAACAAAAACTAAATATCTGATGTTTTTTGAGAATTCAGGGAAGTTAATTTACCTTGATGGCTTAGTTCTATGTAACCTGTTCAAGATTATCAGAATAAAGACAGTTAGTGATTTTATTTAGCCCCATTAGATTGTAGAATTATCAAACTAAAACTTGTTGCTGTAGGAACTGAGATGAACCTACCGAGCAGCAAAACTGCAACAATGGCAAAACTCAGCTGTAAAAGAAAACACGAATTTTGAGGTATTACTGTTTGTATGTACTTCACATAGTGCCACGTGAGCCCACCACCTGCAGGGAGGTCCGTAAAGGTTGGGGTTGGGGGAGGCTAGCAGGCAAAGGAGGGTCCCTAGACGTGCTGATTCTGGGCAGCATAGACTTGCTCTAGGGACGTATCTCACTGGTGGGTAAGGAGCCAAATCTTGTGTGTAAGGTTGCACAGTACCAACTAGATATAGCTGGACTCACCTCTATAGATCCCCTTCCCTTAAGATTGTCTGGCCTTTCTGGAGTCTCTATGGTGTCCTAGAAGGGGTGCCATCTGGGAATTCCTTTGTTCTACTGGGTGATTCAATGCCCATGTAGGCAATGACGGCGTCATCTGGAAGGGGGTGATTGGGAGGAACGGCCTTCCAGATCTAACTTGAATGGGGTTTGTTTATTGGACTTCTATGCTAGGTATGGGTTGTCCATAACAGACACCATGTTTGAGCATAGAGTGGTTTATAAGTGTACTTGGTGCCAGGCCACTTAGGCCAAAGGTTGATGACCAATTGTGTTATTGTGTTGTCGGAACTATTTTCCCCATATTTTCCCCATATCGTCACCATACATGACTGACTGACTAAACAATAAACAGGGAAGGGTATTTCTTTGTTTACTTTATGGTTTTGTAACACACTTGATAACTTTATGGTGAATGGTGAAGGATAGATAATGTGAACACATGTTAGGAAAACTGTTTCAATGCTTTAAGTGTTAAAACATGTTTAAAAGTAGCTGTTCACTTAGATTCTTGGGGGTGGACAAAGCTAAAAAAATGTTCAGCCAGTATATTTTTATTTGTATTGGCCTCCCCCTCTGAATACTGGTATCGGCGATAGGCAAAATTTTCATATCAGTCAGGCTCTAATGGAAACTTCACATACAGCTTCATATCAGAACTGTGATTTATTTTCGTATTTTGATTCAGTAACATCACATCCTGGTTCTTACCTGATTGATCATCATTGCAGAAACCAGATGTCAACTTTAGCAACTATAAAAACACAATTGTACAACAAATTAGACGTTTGCTTTTTATCCTTAAAACTTGCTTTGCTTTATAAATTAAAAATTGAAAAAAAGATTGACTTTACCTGTGCAAACCAGACGAGACTCAGCAAGAGAGGTCCTTTTTGTCCTGTACGATGGTTGCGTTTACTTCTCCTTTTTTATAGAAGCAAGTCTCACCTTGTGGCTCTACTTTGTTTGAGTAAAAATGTGGCTCCTACATTTTTTAGTGTTTGTGAAATATGTTTTGCTGCATTTTCACAGATAAAAATACAAACCTTGAAGATGTTCACCACACCCAAACAAGTGCTTTTACCTCCACACACCAAAGGGCAATTCCTGTAAACACGTTAAACAAGAACAACATGAATTCTCTTTCTTGGAAAAAAATAAGATTTTTTTTTTTTTTAGATACAAGCCCACTACCACACCATGAGCATATATAGTCTAAGTTTTATTATTTGCCAACATTATCATTAACGTAACTGCATTTTCCTATTAGATGCCATAGCAGCAAATGGTGCCCTTTTTTCAAAGCCCACCCTCTACAAGGGTTTTGTGTTTGCTAATTAATTGTCCTTTGCAAAAGAATACTCACCTCCCACTATTCAATAACAGCTGGGGATGCTCTCTGTCAAATCATACATCAGCATTAAACTTTGTCATTTGAAAGGGCCAGCCTAATATTTTATACTAAATCGTGCTTTGGACTGGGTGCCAAAGTACAAATGACAGTGTGTTGTAGACTCATTTATCATCTTGCCCCAGGACACACACCTTTTTCTTTTTCTCAAAATGCACACATCTTTAGAATCTCCTCTGAGTCTCTGTGGAAATTATGATTTTTTAAAAATGTTTTTTTTTTTTTTTTTTTTTTTTTTTTCTTTTTTTTTCTACCTTGATGGCCTCCCTTCTCCCCTTACAGCCACTCCCCCCCCACTTTTTTTATTTTTTTTTTTTTTTTTTTTTACTTTTTAGTGTAGGGTTTTTTTTTTTTTTTTTTTTTTTTTTTAATAGGATAGGAAAAAAGAAAAGACAAAGTAAGACTCCAAAATATAAGAAATATATACAAATAGAGCACACGTCAAAACACCCGGCCACTGTCTGTTCACCTGCAAAGAACATGACAAAACACAGCAACAAAATACATATGTATAAAGAACTTAAAATATTCATGGCTTTGCAGTAAGTTTCAATAAATATATATACCCATACCTACGCCTATATACATACATACATACATACATACACATGAATATACACTCACATACATATCTATATATCTACATATAAAGCCTACATAAACATCCCTGCTTCTATTTGTGTGTGGTTGTGAGCATGCATAAGTGTATAAGGCTTCTCTAATAGAACATTTATTAGTAATTGTGAAGCAGCAGAGACCCGACCCCCAAGACCAGAGGCAGACGAAAAAGTGGGGACCAGAGCCCAAGACCCCAGGAGGGACCCCGACCGCGGAGCCCCCAGAGCCACCCACACAGGGCGAACCACCCACCCACCCCCCAGAAGGGACCACAGGGGAGAACCGGAAGATCCCCACCAGCAACCACATACAGTGACCCCCCGGGGCCAACAGCGACAAACTCATAGGCCTCCGTCGGCACCCGCCACACCGATGTAGGTCCAGGTCCAGGCACCGAGGCCCGGGCACCGAGGACTCACACCACCCAGGCCAAGGCCCGACAGGGCCAGAGGACCCGAGCCCCACCAGGCAGACACCAGGCCGAGCCGACACACGCCCAAGCGCCCAGCCCCCGATACCAAGGGCCCCAAGCGATAAAGAGCAGACTTCCTTTTGACCATCAGTTCTATTTACACATTAAGTTTCAGGTGGCCTATAAAACCAGCATCCTCCTTTTCAAAGACAGTTTAGCAGTTCAGTTTATTATTTTAGATGATATAACATCTAAAACAGCTACAGTTTTTTTTTGTTAGTGACTCTGAACTCAAAGCACAAAATTGAAAAACAAATTGACAAATGAATGCAAATGAGCAAAGCACACCATGTCTGACAATTTGTGAAAGCTGTTGTACAACATGAACGTTTGCATGCATGCACATGAGTCGAATGCAAGGCAGAAGTATGGACTACCTTTTAATAAATTACACTGAGCTCTTTGAAGTAAACAAAATTATTCATTTGATTGTAGCCTGTTTGTGAAGGTGTGTGTGTGTGTGTGTGTGTGGGGGGGGGGTAGTTTGTCTATATTATTACCAAAATCACACATAAATCACTGCATGGATTTTATTGAAACTTTCAGAAAGTTGTTATAGAGTTGACATCTACAAAGGAATAACTTTTGTCATTAATACCATTCAACATGGCCTTCAAAGCTATTCCTTCTTATTCTACTCAAACATGTCTATACCTCAGTGAATTTTACAGATAATGAGTTAAAATTTGATGTGGATTGTACTTTGTAGCTGAGAGTTACACTGAATACACATTCCAACCACTAATAGTTGATAAGATCATATAATACTGAAATATTGTATGTATTTGTACATAATGTTGTTTTCCATATCTGATTTAAATTACTTTAATGATACCATTCATCAACATTTAATGATTTTAGACTAAAACCTTGGCCTGAAAGATGGTGAACAGTAGCATTCCTTTAGGAAATGGCACACTTTTGATGTGAAAATGCTTTACATAATTATATGTTATATAATTTTGATTTAAATGTTCAAACTTTGATAAAAAGCTAAAACGCTAATTTTGTTTGCGCCGCCCATTTTTGTAAGTTGGACCATAAATTAGGTCTGTTGAAAGTGCTGACATTCACTTCTCTTGGGAGAGTTTTACTGAACCTTGTTTATCACACTCATAGTGGTTTTCTCATTTTGTGAAAGCACTGTGTGGCCTTTCTGTTCAGCTACCCCTGTGGTGATGTCCTTCTTTTTGTACTCTACCAACACATTTTCAATTCTGGCTAGATCAGATGTTGCTGATAGTGTAAAAAATGAAAATAAAAAGAAAATAAATTCTATCATGTCTTCAGAGTTTGTTGCGCTATAGTGATTGTAAGTCTCACTATCAGGGAGGTTTAAAGACCCTGAATGAGAATTTACATATAAGTCCATGCTGTGTATTCACATCCCCCTCGTTAGAATAATTTTCATTCTCTTAAAAAATATATTTTTAAATCTAAATAGTGTTTGTCAATGCCATCTTTAAATGTGTGGTCAAAGGAAAGCTTTTTTCAAAAATGATCGATTTGATTGTTTTAAACTTATTTCAGATTTTAACCTCTGGCTTTTGGCCTTTTCATCTCAGTGAATAAAACAACTTTTTGGGTGGGCAAATGATAAAACTTTCTTCATGCATGACCCTTTTGAGTTCTGCTCCTTCTAGTAATCTGACAATGTGAATCCATTCAAGTCTGACTTTTTTCTATAGGTTCCTCAGACTGAGAAACATTTGTGCATATCACTTTTTGGATCAGCAGCTTGTTGAACAGATAAGCCTTTTGAGGTTTCTCAGATATCTACTTGCAGGAATAATGAGGCAAACACCGTGATTTGTGTAGATATGCTACCTGCCTGCATTGAGATCTGTTATGCATCAGTCACCTTTGCTTTTCCATATTGTACTGAAATTTGTGGCAGTAAGAAAAATACAAACGTAACACATAAATATATATATATATATATATACATATATATACAAGGGGAGGAAGAGAGACAGAGACACATCTGAACCGTGCACTGTCTGTACCGACAGTTTCCGAGTGTGTTGGGGTGGGGGTTCAGCATGAGTGAAGAGGCTGCCTTTAGCTTTATAGCTTGTGCACCGGTATTGCGAGCCCCCCTTTTAGTGTTACGTCAGTGCCGACAGGTGGTTGGGGGAGAGGGGTTTGGTAGACTCGGTTCTGTTGACGGGGTGGGGCGCCCTGCTTATATAATGAAAGGGGAAACACTGTATGTACATGTACAGTATTTGTGGTAGCACGACGGCTCAGTGGTTCGCACTGTTGCCTCACAACAAGAAGAAACTGGCCACCAACACTAATCATTTGAAAAAATTATGTTTTCTAGTGTTTTTATGTTACTTAAAATATAGTTTTGTCAAATGATGCGGGTGGCCGAAAATTAATCTATGGTGGCCAAGACCGCATTGGTTGCCATTAACTGTTTTATATTTATTTATTCATTTTTAATACAACAAGTTAGAGCCTCTGCAGTCACCACACCTAGGCAAGCATTGCTAACATGGGGTAAAACTTATTTTATTGTGTTTTTACTTTGTTTCTTCATGAAATACATTGCTCATTGTACATGTTTAACACTTGCCTGTTTAGCATTGAACAATTAATTTAAATCCCGCCCAGTCCTTTAAAGTATTCCACATAAGTACCATTTTGAATATGGATGTATACTTTAAAACAGCTTGTTGATTAGAGTATTAAACTTTCATTTACATAGTTCTAGAATTTTTTAAAAGTCACAGATGAAGCTGAATCATTAACAATAAGAAGGGTAAACAAGCACGCAGTTCCCTGCATTCTGCACTGATCACTAAATTTTTGTCCAAGCTGTCCATATTTCCAAACAGCTTGCTGGCTGCCTACATTACAGGCGCTCATGCTCTCATTCTGTGACTCAATTGTATTTGTTCATCAGCAGATGACATAGAGGCCACAGCAAGCTTTTGTGTGGGACTTATTAAAAGAACAGTAGGTGGTGGGCTAGTAATCAGTACTAAAGTGTCTCAGGAGATTTCTGCATCGTAATGGCAATGCAGTATTTGAGTTGAACAGCTCTAAACTGATGTGGCTGGTCACTGTTACTAAGAATAATAAAACACACACAAGATTAGTGTGAGAATGGCTGATTACAAAAGACAGATTTGAAGTAATGAAAACTGGAAGGCTTGGGAGGTAAGGAAGGGTGTAGCTGTGTAAGAATCTTTGGATGTCTTTAGAGACCCTCTAGGGATGCCTCAGTGTCTTTTTTGTACTCAGAACTTGAACCCCAAAAATGCATTTCTCAAAATTTGCCTAAATAAGTTCTTGGAACAACTGTGAGTAAAGATTTGTGGAAAGGAGTGTTGGAGACATAAATCCTGGTGCCGTGGTCCTGCAATGCTGCGGTTGAGGGTTGGAGCCCAAGTTGCGTCCGGAA